TGGTCTTACCAACTCATATTGGGAAGTTGTGAAACATAGTGTAATGTATGAGTTGTACGAATTTCAGGTGAAGTAGCCAAATAAATCTAAAAGATCAGGGAATACAGAAGCCCGCTTGAGAAGTTCTGAGTAAAGAGGTAGTACAGATCTTTGACAGTGCTACATAAAAGATTATCATTTGAAGAACCAAACACCAAAGGCAAAATAAACAAAGACCGAGTATCTAGCAAGCACTACACCAACTAGACCACCAGACAACCAGAGAAAAAAGGATTCATTCAGAATACTAGAAGATGCCTACTGGTTCCTTCTGAGCTATCTAAATTGGAAGTTTGGGGTGCTGACAGTTGATATCAAAGTACTGTTGATAGTCTGTAAAGTGGGTACTGAAGTTTGTGTAAAATTTGCAAGAGCAAGAAGTAGGTAATGATAGCAGAGATAAAAAGCCACAAGTACTTGGCCGCAGCCTAGGTGTAAGTTACCAAAAATCTAGGTGATATATGTGTGAGACATGGACCACTCTGATAGATTTATCACGAAGATAAAGGACCCCTATATGGTAGTGTATGTCCGTTTTAAAGTTCTAAGAGACCTTCTTGGCAGTCACTCTTTGAGGAGAATATCCAATAGTGCTAAGTTGATCAGAGAGTTTAAATAGATAATCTTCTTAGCTGACTACACCAGGGTGTAGGATCAATTTTACTGTCACATGATTTTCTGACGTCTATCAACCAATCAAAGATTAGGATCAGGTATAACGTGAAAAAATTCAAAACAAATGTTTGCTTTGCAAAAATCGTACATATCACAAAATTTAGTCTAGTAAACCATCTTTGGGGTCCTAACAAAAAAATTTTTTTGTGCGATTTTGCTATATTATTGTTTTTTCTAACTTTAACCTAGGCTCTAACCTAAGTTTTTATCTTAACAACATTTGTTTTTCAACTATCATGTAACAGTAAAATTGATCCTATGCCCTGGCATAGTCTCCTTAGCTGAGTTATAGGTATAGCATCTAGTGTAGTTCATATGGGTTACATATGCAAAACTGCTTAAATAGACAACTAAAAGTTATATATATAGCTAGTTGTACTTTGTTAATGTAACTAAGTTAGGGATAGCCCATGTGGTTGTCTTAACATTCGAATCAAAGTTCAATAAAACATGCCAGACTCCAAAGTGGTCACCTTAACATTAAAAAAAAAAATTATCTAATTAATATATTTAAGCAAAAAACTAAAAAAAAAAAAATATACTTCTTTAACTTAAGACACATAAAGAAGTCAAAAATTTGTAACCTAGATCTTGTAGTATCATATATTTGGCTCATTATTGAAGTATATGCAATTTTTGATAGATTTAGGCAAAGGCCTAAAGTACATATTTGTTACTCTATTCAAATTTAGAAATAAATAATACTGATCAATTATAGTAATAAGAATATTAATCTTTTGGAGAAGTAAATTAAATTATATACTTTTTTAAAATTTTCTTGAAAAAAGCTAAAGATCAACGAAAATATGTGAAGTTCTTTTTGTAAGTTTTATAATTATATAGTCCAGTTTCCTATTTGATATTCTTGCTCAGAGATTCTTGCTCTACTTGTTCTCAGAATAAACTTTTTAGTTTGGATGCCAAATATACTAAAGAGTTTGTCAAAAGCAGAAAACTTGACCCAAGACACAAACTTACCTAATATTTTTATATACTTACTTCTCAGTATTTCACATATTGTAAACTTTGTCAACAACAAGTTTGTTTATACAAAACCAAAGATATTGTTATGCTTACTTAGTCTTTTTTCTATATCGTTTACTGTAGTTTAATAAATTTGTTGTTAACTAAAGAATTATCAAAAGAGTTTTGATAAACTGATCTCTAGCTTTGTTTTTTATACTATTTTAATAATCTTATTAAATATATTATAGTTAATATACTTTGGTTTATTTCTGCTTTTTTTATTATATCTATTAACAGCACTAGTTTATAAATTTTATTTTTTATTTTATTTTTACTAAAACACACCTATAGTGTTTTATCACTTATGTTGTATTATTTCAAAAACTAGCTAATTAATTGATATAAGATATTTTAAATAAAAATATTTTATACTTCCAAAAACTTTTCTCAAACTCTAATCCTAACTATAATAATAATTTTTTTTTTTTTATACTAACTTCTTTAACATAAAGGTTTTTATTTAAGTATACCAAGTGAAGAGCTTACAAAGAACTCTAATTATATTAGAGAATACAACTAGCTATACATTCAACTTTTGATTATCTATTTAAATAATCTATAATCAGTATTATGCTATAGAGACTACACTATTTGTTATATCTATAACTTGACTAAAAGGTTATTTATTTAAACCCTCTGTAATATACATAACCTTTTTGTATCACTAGAACATCTCTGCTATATTTGTTAATCGAAAAGTTTCAGATGCATGCTATAGCCTTAGGACTAATTTATCCTTGAGACATAATTGCTAAAACTTTCTGTACCTACAATCTGGCTAACCTAGTCTTTAGTAATTTACACTGAGTCTGAAAACAAGTACTTGTAAGCTGAAGCTGTTACTATTATCTACTTCTGCCCTTGCAGAGTTTATCCAAATCCCAGTACCTATTATACAGACTATTACCAGTATCTAAGTTCTGTTAATAATCCAAACTTCTAATCTAGATAGTCTGGAGGGGCTGTGATCTACTTCTAATCTCCATAGTTAGATTCTTTTCCTCTGATTACTTATCCAGTGACCTGATTGATATAATATCTTTGCCAAATATTCAGTTCTTATCTAGATCACTAAAATTGGTGTTCAGATCTCTTAAATAATCCTTTATATAGTATTGTCAAAGATTTGTACTATCTTTCTACTTAAGATTTGCCAAGCAGGCTTTTGTATACCCAATACCTAGATTAATCTAGCTGCTTTACTCAGATTTCATATAACTCATGCATTATACTAATATTTTATAGCCTTCCAGTACAAGTCTGATATAACATATTCTGTAAAATTCGAATTTCATTGCCAATGAAATTCAACTTTACTAAGTTACTACATTCTTCTAACCTTAATATTAACTTTAATATAAAAAAATTAATGTTAAAAATTTTATATAAAAAACTTATAAAAACTTAAAAAATTTTAAAAAATATAATAAAAACATATAATAGGTACAAAACCACTATAGGTGTGTTTTATAATAATTGTTTTATTTTTATATTATTTTAGATTCTATTTTAATTTTTTTCTTTTTTTATAAACTTTTTTTGTTTTTTGTTTGTAACTTTTATATAATATATTTGTTATTTATTAATATATTTGTTTATTTTAGATTAGAATATAATCTGTAACTTGTTTGTTTATCTGATTTGCATATTTGTTTGTTTATTATTATTTATATATCTATAATGATGATTATATTTTTAAAATCTAAACCAAATTTTTAAAATTTTCAAAAATTTTTTTATTAAAAAAATTTCTTGTTTTTTTTTGCTGTTTGGGTAAATAAATAATTATCTGTTACTGTATTTTAAAAAACCTTTCTTTTTTTTTAAAGCAGAAACATTGTTTTTTAAACTTTTTGTTAAAAATAATATTATTGTTTTGCTAAATATCAAAATTGAGAATTAGCAGAAAGAGTTTCAGTTATATAATAAATCTGATTTAATTGCTATTGCTTCAGGTAAGTTGGATAATTTAGATCCAGTTACCATTACTTTAGACAAATTAGATATTTTTATAATATTATTGTGTGTAAACAAGTTAAAGGTTCTCTAGTTGTCAAATCTATCATTTCAATACTTTCATTCAATTCATGCTGCTTTCTTTTTGACCTATATTTTATAATAATCATTAAAATATTAACCTTTTAAATAAAATGATATGGCATATAAATTTTTACATTGATTTCGTTGGTTATAATTCTCAATACAGTTTCGAAAATGTTAATGAAATCTGGTTGTTTGGAATTATAACTCGAATAATATTGTTTTTAATCCATTCAATAAATTTTTGATCATATCGAGCTTTTTTATTAACGCCTACTCGTGTAATGTGTTTATTCTGAAGCTTATACTCAGAATCTTTTTTATGTATGTTTTTATTAGGATCCATTGGTTGGCAAGAACAATCTTCGCCATAAATTTTCGTACAAACTAAACACACTAAACATACTGGACATGCATTTAAACGAAAACCTAATTTTGAATGTGTTGACATTATTAGTACCGTTCAGAAAATATTATCGCTATGAATTAAAAAATATAAATCGTTTTAACGCACGAATTAAAAGTTTATCACTACCGAAACCAATAACTTATTGAATCGGCCAAACAATCATTCGGTCAATTTTTCACCAGATGTCCCAAAAATAATGAAAACAGCTGTATTAAAACGCATTCAAATTAGAAAGTGGAATCATTGAATTATCATCCGATTATCGATCGAAAATTTCAAGCATCGGAATAAGCTTTCATTTACCGAGTTTTTTAATTCGGTCAATTATCGAGCATAGCATCGATCAAAATTAAATTTGTGATTAATTTATCGTTATTGATTTAATTAAAACGTGAAAGCAAGTGTCAAACGGTGGTTTTTCTCAAATAGAGAATTTGATCGGGATCTGGTCCATAAGCTAAGCTCATTAGCATAACACGTAATTTACTAATAATATTGATAAAATTGATAAAATTGATATTGTATGAATGATTCCCAATTCCTTAATCACCAAAGACATGTAAAAAATGCTTGAAAATTTCAACTCAAGAACAGGTTCGGCAAGCTTTTAACAGACTACCTCTTATTAAGTATATAGACGGAATGGAAATTTCTATAGATTAATTTGTCAGTTAAAGCCATCCTAACCCTAATGTAATCTCGTGATGTATCTGGCTTTAACCATCTTCCATAAAAAGAAATTACGTAGAGTTAGTCTGAAGGGAAAGTAAAAATAAGGGATAAAATTTTGTATTCTATAACATTACGAAATATGATGTAATTATTATGTATAATATAAAATTATTTAATTATTTCAACTATTTAATACTTATCACCCATTTCTTAAATATGAACGAATCCTCGCTTTAAATATGACAAAAGGTAAAAAAAAAAAAAAAAAAATATGGACTTCATTTTTTATACGAGATTTTCTAAATGTTTTGTGATTCATAGTTGAACCAATACACAAAGGTTTAATCAGGGCTCGCGATAGTCACATTTTAAGTCTCGATTCCTCCGGACTTTTGCAATTCAAATGGGATGTCATGAATGATAGTCCTACAATGTTTGAAATTTCAAAAAATGGAGAACTTCTTGATTATAAAGGAGATCGTGTTTATTGGATTCAAAAAGGCGATGGGCTAAAGGAGAAAAAGTATTGGTTTAGGGTTGAAAGGTTTGGACCTAACGAGGTGAACTTATAAAAGGTTTTATTTGCCATCATGAATTTGTTGAAAAGGTGCCTAATACCGAGAAATCTTTTTTTTTTTTTTGTTGAAGCTCTTTTTAAGAGCAATTGAACAAGAAAATGGGGAAATTGGAAAATATCTTACGGTTAAATTAGAGGGTTTGGCATTGGAGGATCAAGCTTCAGCTTTATCCGAATTCATTATTGCCAAGGAAATTTAGTTTTTATTATTTGTTGTCTACGAAGCCGTCTATATAAGGTGCTTAAGTACAAGTAAAACAAAGAAATATTTATTTTCACGTGCTACAAGAGTGTCTTAAATTATATCCTGGACTGTCTTATATTATGTGTGCATTATTTTGCAACAACACACAATAGAATAGTGGTCATCTTTTGGAATGTGAAATTTTATTGATAACGTTTGTAAAACGAATGGTGTAATCATTAGAGCGATAACCCATATTTTGAATTAAAGCATTGTGCCAAATTTAAGATACCAAAACATTTGGGGTGTTCTATATCGGTCTAATTACAAACTAATTTAAGATTTTTTATATATATAAAATTTATTTTGTCAAGTTCATTATACGTAGCATGTTCTTTTAATTAACAATGCCATTTTTTTTTTTTTTTTTTTATTGTTTGGAGCATAGTGGAGGACTCAATTTCCGCGCAACATGATTTAATAAAAATACCAAAAACGTAACTTTGAATTTGCTTAATGACAGACAAAAATTCAAATAGCGTTTTTGATATTTTTGTTATCCGCTACGATCCAAACAATAAAAATAATAGACGTTACTTTAAAAAGCACGTTAGAATAAACCTGACAACTTTATTTGTGTGGATTTGCTGGTTTAATTATATGTTTTACTATTACACTATCGCTGATCTAATTAGGGGGACGCTTAAAGCTTGGTTTTTCCGATTTTTAATATTAGGATTAGGGTTAGACATAGGCTAAGAGGTTAGTAGATACAGTCAACTCCCTCTAAAATGCATTCGCCGGGACTTAGAAAATTTTCTTAAGAAAAAAAAAAAAAAGACCTGCATTTAAAGAGAATCTGTATTTAGAGAATATATGTTTACTATAACCTCTAAATCTGCAATTTAAAGAAAATTTAATATGACCTGCATTTAGAGGACATGCATTTAGAGAGATATAGAAAATCACCTTTACTTAGGGTAATTTCGGAAGGTGTCAGACCCCTTAATTAGGGGTCATCTGCACTATGCTTGTAATTAGAACGTATACGTAGAACAAAGTGTTATTTCAAAATGAATACGTACGTACATGATACGTACAAAAATGAATGCTATTAAAGGTTATTTAATATGAATAAAAAATGTATTAATTTAAGCTCGACCCCAAGGTTATTTGTGTACCTTAATTCCCCAGGATTACGTTATAAAAGTTACTCCTTTATCCTGATATGTACTTGCGTGAAATTTTAAGCCAATTATCGCTTATGCCATTTTACAGGGATACGGTAAGCATTTATAATGCTAAACAAACAGATAGAATGATTTATATTTACAGGAAAATTTGCAAACATAATGTGAGAATTTCTTTATTTAGAAAAAAAAACCATTAAAATTTGATCACATGATCGAATAATCAGCAAATACGAAACAAGAAGAGAAAATAGTGAGAAACAAAAAGAAAAGCTGGGAAGACAACTTTACATACATATAATGCCTTTCTTAGCCTATCTTTAACTCGGATTTGTTTAATAAGATCCAAAATTATGATGATTATTATTAGTATTATATTTCTTTTAAGAACAAAAGTCTATGAAGAATGCTTTTAAGAATTAAGAAAATATTTAACCACCTATATTTCTTTTTTAACTATTTGAAATACCTCCCAATCCTTCCATCTAAAACTGCCTTGTCTATCGAAAACACCTGATTTATAACATCTATGCTGACGATATCCCAAAGGTTGATCGCGTTTAATATTAACATAAAGATCCGGTCCAGAGCCGAAACACGGACCGTCTTGTGGATGATCATATATAGCAAAGTCCACTTGATCATATAAAATGTAACCGCATTTCGCATCTTCTTCAAGTTTTGCTTTTTTTGCATCAATGCCAAGAGAAAATATAAAACAACCTTTTGATCCACGACTACACGAAAGCCATCCTCTTTGCCAACCAACATTTAACGCATTATAACCACCAATTATTTCGTTAGTACCTTCGACTTTTATTACAGTGAGCGTTGGACCAATATTATCACACATTCTGTGAAAAGAATCACTATCATCACGACTTGCACGATATAATAGATTAAAGTCATAAGTGCAATTAATATTTTTATTAGATTGAAATGGTTTTTTCTCGATCCAACTTATAATGATCTTGCCACATTTCGGATTAATAATAACGGAAGAATTGATTCGTATTGCAGGATTTCTTGGCGCTGGTAACGTTATTGAATGAAGACAATTCGTTTGGTGATAGAGAGTTATATTGTTCAAAAGGTTTTCGGGTAAGATCTTTGCAAAAGGTTGAACATGTTTATAAAAGTCAGAACGAGACATTTGAAAAAATCTAATGTGTGGTATGCATCTACGTAGAGTTTTTTCTAAAGCAGCAAAATCTTTAGGTGACCAATGTTCAACAGGTCTTTCAAGACCAGAAGTGTTTGCGATACCCCACTTTAAAACATACTCCCAGAGAACAGTTTCACTTAATCCAAGGTCATCACGTTGTAATAAAGCCAAAAGTATTGATTCATCTATAGAGGGAAACCAATCAGCATCAAAGAAGGATAATAGATCACGTAAAATTATTTCATCAAGACAATACTCTCGTAATTTTTGACAAGAATCACGGGGAGAAACAATAGTAAGAATATCTAAAAGGTTATCGTCTATCCAAGTAGCTTTTGAATGAATCAAATAAGTTTGAACGTGATTCATTAAAACATCATCAATCATTATTTCGTCGGCAGCAATAAGAAGATCAAGAATGTCAAAAGGGTCATAATCATCTAATCGAAATATGTCACCATAAATATATCTGTAAAAAAATAAGAAAACTAAGTATACGATCGAGTATTTGTAGTTATAATTTCAGACTCACCTTAATATTATTTCAAAAATATTTGGAGACATGTTAGGTTTCTCAAATATGATAATATTTTCTTGTTTCTTTGTCCATTCGCATGATAAAGCTCTATGGAAATAAGGAGACCTAGCTCTCAATATCAAAGAATGAGCTTTAAATTCTTGAATGTTTGGAGATTCTCCAACTTTTATTTTAACATCATATCCTTCAGAATTATGTATCAACTTTATGATATCGCCAGACAACTGCGTTAATAATTCAGAATACATTTTTTTTTTAAAAAAAAGGAAAAAAAGAGAAAAAAAAGAAAAAACCGAAAAAGGGAGGAATATAGTTGATTAAAGGATCATATTTCCAAATGATTTTAATTTATTTTTTTTTGCATCATCATTTTGGTGGTAAAAACATCCAAAGCAGATCAGTCTCGGAAGTTATTCATTGGTAACTATATATACTTTTAAAAGTTTATCATAGATAAGCAGCGCCTAGATTATTTATTGAACATTATAAATCATAATATAAAAGCCACTTATTTTGTATATATTATATTTAATATCCAAAACAAAATTTGAACTTGTGACAATCGGAAAAATTGAGGGCAAATTTGCCCTGAATTTTAAACGGTTTAAGAGATAAATTTTGATACTGATCTGCGTAATTTAGTTTAATCATATTACCAAGGTTGAATTTTGTGCATTAAAGTTATTATGTAAAGTTGATTTGATCACTGTGAATAATTAAAAAAGATTCAGTGATAAGTTTTCGTACAATAGTTGATAACGGACTATAATCCTTATCCGGTGCCATGACTATTCCTTTTTAATCAATATCAATTAGATTTTTTATATGATATAATGATTGAAATCGGATCACTTAGTATCATTCTATTCGTCTCGCTGAGAAAATAAAATTATACGATCACTATATCAAGATTATGGGGGTAATTTTTTATTACTAATATACCACTTCCGCCTTACCGGGACTAGTTCACATAATCTTATGATCTCAAGGCCATCTGATTGGTCCATATAATTAAACATAATAATAATATCTATTCTAGGGATGATATATAAATTCTTTAACTAGTTTGGGACCAGATTAACATCCTTAGGTTGGATTAATCCAAGTTTTCCATGATCAACTGATCTTGCCCATGACGATGAACGTGAACTCAGTGTTGTCAACAGATGACATGTTACACCAAAAAAGAAAATATTAATAACAGAATTTTAT